TAATACTGGATTAAGTTATCGAATGAATTAAGTGCCAATTTTTAAAAAAACAAAATTGTATTTTGTCTTATAACTTATAAATGTAATTTTGTAAATATTAGTCACTATAATATATTAATGTTTAAATGTCACATACTCACATATATTTGTAATAGATATTAAATTTGTTTTAAGAAAAAATATTAAATCTTAAGTGATGTATTGTAATTTTTGTATTTTGAATTTATGATTTAAATACGTTATTATAAAATAAGGTAAGTTATAGGCAAAGCAAAAATTCCCTCGAATCGGTGACCACTAGATAATTGTATATTGCCATCTAAGACAAGTACGCCATTATACAAATAAATGTAATCTTTAAAGAGTTTATTTTCAGAAGTCTTTTTAAAGTATAATATTTCAATAACCAATATTTTAGAAAAAACATACTTCAGAAGTTTAAGATTTAATCTATACATTAAATAAAAAAGTTTGATTTTCTAAAGTATTATATATAAATGTATTTATTTACTATAATTTTAAAATTTAAATAAAAGTTCAATACTTAAATTTTCTGATGTAAAAAATTAATAAAAAATACATATTTAATAGTACTTTATACTAAAATATAATATACATTTTTATATGAAATGTAATTAAAATTTATGCATTATTCGTTAATTTTAAAACTATAAAAAATAAGTCTATTAGCACATTCAAAAAATACATTTTGCACTAATGTAACGCCGTTATTTAATTATTAATATGATGTTTATTTGATACTGAATAATATAATTTGGTTAAATCATGGTATTTTTAAAAACTATATTTAAACAAATTATGTATTTTTTGGAACTTGATCATAAATTATAAGAATAGGTTAGTCGATAAATCAATTTTATATGTAAGTTTAAATAGCAATGAAGGACAGATCATGAAAAAGTATTTACATTTATACGAGTACACAAATGTATAGGGTTCAATTTAGTGTAAGCATTACATAATAAACACTAAATAAATACTACGAAACGAAATTCAAGTCCTCACTTGCTGAAAGCAGTGGTATATTTAAGAGGAGTGAATGGATTATCCCCTCTGCTAAGGATTATAACTGTAGTCATAAAATTGTCGTATTAGCATTGAATAAAAAAAAAAAATGCAAATTACTGTTAAAAATAAAAATCATGAAATTGTGGGGCGTCTAACGAGATAGTTCTCCGAATCGCTAAGCTGCATTAAAACATTTTCATCCGTTTTCCTCCTATCAAAATTAAGGTTTCAAATTTGTCACTGGCCGATAGGTGGTACTTATATTGGAAACTTGAGTATATTTTTATAAGCGAGTGTTATATTAATTATTTTTACCAGCTATATCTTTCCACTCAATACTTATCAATGTAGTGCACAGCACATTAGACGTGTTATTACACTTAAGTTTATATTAATGATATCACAACATTTACATTGGCGATTTAACAATCGTACAACAATAGTATCTATATCTCAAATACATTTTACCCGTATTATATTGATGGACGATAGTCGCTTAATTTTTTTTTTTTTTTGTGGTTAAAATTATTTCGCCCGATTAACATCGGTAGACGAAGCTGAGCTTTTAAATTTCAAATATTCTTCACAAAACTCATTACAGACTTGATAATGATCAAAATGACTACATTACGCCGCATGACCACTACGTTCATCTGAAGGTTAACGAACATATGTTATATAAAATATACATTCAAACGTATATTATTATTATGATTATTATGTATTTACGACGAAGCATAAAACGACGCCAATAAAATTCATGGGTGAATATATTCTGATATAATATTGGCATTGTTTGTTTGCGCGCTCTTGTTGTGTTTTTCTTTTTCATAATAATTATTGTAATTTATCAATAACACATTAATTGTTATAACAGCGTTGCTCTTTCGTTAAATTGGTATAGTAGAGAATAAATTATAATGTAATTACGAAATTATTATTGCATAAATATAATAATGTTGTTGCATTAAAATATTTCCTTTCATTAGTGCATTAAAGTTCAAAACTGATAATAATAGTTATTAGAAATGATGGATCAGACACTTTTTTTTTTTATCCTAAGTTAATTTCGAAGAGAAAACTATAATATCCTAAACCGTTTACGGAGAAAAATTAACGTTAGCTAAAGATTTCAATTACGTACACTATAATAATGCTATTATAACTAGTAAATTTATTAACATAATATTAAATAATTTTTTTATTAGTATATAATACAGGTATTAATAATGAAAAAAATAAAAATAAAATCAATAATTTACAATCAAACGAGTAAAACGACAAAAAAAAAAAAAAAACCATAGATAATTAAATGACTGATTTCCTATAAGACATCAAAAAATAAAATTTTGTGTATTCTAGTATCACAGAATATCTACTTAATAACACCAAAACCTATTTTAAATGTTACCTAACAAGTTCATTGCGTACAATTTTAATATTATCTGTTATTATTTATTTTCGTGTGTTCAAATTTTTCAAAAAAGATCGAAGTATGAACGAAAACTAAAAAATACCTACATCGTTATTATAGGAAATGCAAGAGCCGTATTAGATATTAAAAATATAAATTCTTATTACATATTTGCTATTAAAAATCAATAATACTTAATTTCAGTGCATGTAACTACACATCGGCCCAAGGGACCCCGCGACAAGAACACCGCTAAATTCCGCTGGCTCGGAAAACTCGCTTTTTTGATAATAACATGATTATTTTACTCGAGTAGTCACAAAAGAACTAATTATATTTTTAAATAATAATTTAAAATACATTATACTCGAATTTTTTGTAGACGCAGTTACAGTACAACAATAACGATAGGTATATTATATAAACGACGCCGTGCGTATATTATATGATAATAAACGACAGTAATAAACCGGTACAGCCGTCGTGCACGTAGTGGAGCGTGCGGCGCAAAATTCAAGGCGCTCAAACTGTGTACATAATAATAACAATATATTGCGATAATAATAATATCATTTTGATCCTGTCATGGTAACGGACATCTCCGCGAATTTTATAGTCTACTGAACTAAAATAAAGCTCCCGTAGCGATTAATATGTACGCGAGCTCGCCGGACAAACGGCATAATACATTATACGCGTAATATAATATACATAAATGCGTTGCACGAGATCAATCGCGTACAACGACATGTCGTCGTGTTAACATTATACGATATTATATTTTCATAATATTGCAAAATTATGTTGATCCACATATTTGGTTGGTCTTCCTTCCTTATATTTTAAACCCCGCTCTCGACTCTTCGGGTTTAACGTACACTGTGCAATATACACGCGCACTAGGACCAGATTTTTTTTACCATCGTTCAAAAAGATTCACATCGATTATAAACGTTTGTTCAAAATTTCACCATCGATGTTACATTTTAATGCGAAAAATACACTTAAATATTATTGTAGTGTATATGATGCCGTTCCATTATGCGTGCAGTTGATGGGTTAAGCCTGTAACACCGCCTATTATTATTTTTACCTGAACCATTAATTTTCAGTTGTTTGATATTACTGATATAGTGTTATAATATTTAATAAGCAAATATTTATTATTCAGAGAGTAGAAAATGGTTTCAAAATTTTAAAACACTTATATAGCTTTACCTATAATTATTCAGATTTAAAATAGTTGTTGAATTTTTTAATTAAATATAACGCTAATAAATAAAAATAAAAAAGCTTAGTATCTGTATTAATAAGTAAAGAAAATGCCGAAATAATGCAAAATTGATTTTAAATTATATATTATTTAATAAATTATTTTATATATTTATGAAATTATTTGTGTAGGTATAGAGTAATGTATTTAATTCGATAGAATTATAAATTTTTAATATTAATATACACTATACAGTATTATAGTATGTTTGTACAACTATTGAGTCGAAAAAAATTAAAAACTATTAAAAAATTTTTTTCATATATTTAAAACGATCAAACAGTAATAATAATCTAATGAATGAAAAAAAAAATACAAGATGAGATATATAAGTGCTGTACTGGACAAAAAATAAAATAAAAATAAATATACATAAATAATTATACTATACTGTAGTAGGTATATTATACTTACAAAAAATTACAGGTGATTTTAATTTCACTTGACAACGATTAGGGTATGTTTCGTTAAGGGTTACTTTTATTCTCAGAAATTTCATCTCAGTCAATATTATTTTTACTTAAATTATTTTTGCTTGTTTAAATATCGTAAACGATATAATTATAATAAAACAATATAATATGATTTTTTAATTTATTTATAAAACGGTAAATTAGATGATTGAGGAAGGGATTTAAACGAAACTTTTTTTTTTTTTATGATAAATTAAATGAAAACAAATATTAATGAAAGAGCGTATATAATATATCGTGTTCAGGTGATTGAATATTTATTGTATCTACCTATTACAGTTGTTATTATTGATGGTGAATAGTTTTACATTAGGTTTGATCATTAAAGCACCCGTCATAGTATGTTATTATTGAAAAACGAAAAATATCTTTTCTACAGGTATTTTCAATAAATATTGATTTGTTATATTCGTAAATAGTTGTATCGCATTCGCATAATTCAGTGTGATAAATTAAAGCGATATTTGCTTTAACATAAAAATAGTTACGTATTTGTAAAATATTTGATCAATTAAAATTTGATTTAATAATATGCATAGTATACTTAGCCAGTATCATATAGAACAGATGGCTTTATTGTAATGTATGGTTGAATCATAAATTATCATCGTAATAAAAATAAAAAGACTGTTGTAAACACACACAATTTGCATTATAATAATAAGAAAAAAAAGAATGAGGATTTTATGCCATACAGGGTATACATGATATCGAGATTTTATTAAAACTAACAATAGTAGTCAAAATCAAAAAATATCGAAAAAATACCGCGTTAAATAAAATTCTATGATATTATATTTTTAACAACATATGAAAAAAATACACTTTTGGTGTCTATATATTTTACTCCATAACAATAATAATGATGAAAGTTTAGGTACTACAACGACATTTACATATTACTCGTTTTATATTCGATGCGTTTATTAAGTTACTTAATTAAATACAATACAACGACTATATTATGGTTCACGGTTGTCTCCAATAGCTTTTGCATTTTCATCTAGTGTTTGCTGTTCTGGATGCGGTGGTATTTCGATAGTCGTATCCGGGGGCAGTCTTGTGTTTGACAACGCTGAGGTAGTCGTGCTGTTACTGACGCAAGACGATGACCTAACGTTGTTCGCTGGTATCCAGGGCATAAGTTCCTTTGGATCCAGTTGATGATCACTATATAATACATTAAATTACATACATTTTAAAAACCTAATTTTTGAAGAGTAATCATGAATATTTAAAGAGCAAATAATTAATTATGAAGTAGATTTACATTTTTCTGGATACTTATCCCTGAGTGCCACTCTATATCAATTATCAAAACCTTAAATAGATACTTATGAGTTATTAATTTATTAATTATTAATTAACAATTCGAAATTCGATTTGTATATACATTGGTATTATTATAAAAATGTTCTTCCTTGGAATACTTATAAAAATAAAAATATATGCTGTCATAATATTTATAGATCTTTATAAAAGTATTTCGATATTTTTTTTATGAAGTTAATGTTTGAATGAATTTTATATAGTTCTTGGTGTATCTATTAACTACTTATTTAAAATATTGGTTATTACATAGTACTAGTACTATCTTATCTGCACTTATTCAGTTTACTGGCTTATTGCTAAATATATTAGGGTACGTTGTTATACTTTTTTTAATAAGGAACGATATGAGCGATATGAGTGCAGGTTAAAACATAACATTTATATAAAAACTATGTAGGTATATGACTATCACTATAATATATTATGATATTTTAATTAAATAACATTTTTTTTTTTTTTTTTTTTTTTTTTTTAATATTTAAAATTATTTGAATATTGTCTTGATAAAAAACAATATCTTATAACTCATTGGAAATATGATTTGTTGCTTCCTATTATGTTAAATTTAATTAGTTGACTTATAAAGGGTAAATATATGAAAATTGTATTTAAATATTATTAGAATATAATATGAGGTAATTTAAACGAAAATATTCTTACAATTTAGTTAATGCTCAGTTAATTTCAATGGAAATAATATTGAGTTTAATAATATATTTGTGACCATACCATATTATATTGTTTCGTTTTACTGACATCCAGGACTGGTCATATTTTTTTCTCGAAGCAAGGAATTTCCGCTTTGTCTGCCATCTTGCAATGTGGTATTTCAATGTGTTTTGAACTTCATTATTAAAGAAACAATAAAGCAATGATACGGTAAACCCCTAATAAAATAAATTAATAAAAATTAATCTATATTGTACAATGATATTTTAGTAAAGTACGTATTATAACTTAAAGTATTAAACAAATTTAAATGTGATTTATATATTATTAGGGTAGAATATGATTATGTACAATATAATCAGAAATTTGGTTGAATTTTTAGAGAGGTTAACATTATTCATTGTAAAGTGACTCATACAGCGATTACTATTTACATGATCAACGGATACATATATATGTGTGTGTTACGGGTAATGTTAACATTCAAATAATGTCGACATTAGCCGGATAATATAACATTATCCATGTGTTATCATTATCCGTCGTGAATATTATAAAATTTTGGATAATGTTAACATTAACCGATTAATATAATATTAGCCAAGAACTTTTGGATAATTTCTTTACTATTATAAAAATGTATCATGCATGAGATAAAATAATTTTAAATTATCAACAATAGGTATTAAATATATTTAAAATACAATATTAATAAAATAATATAATATATTTATTATTATTAAAAAATTATTTTTTGAAATATTATTTTTAGTAGGTATTTAATTAAATTTGTATTCTTTATTACATGGAATGCTCCGCGACATTTCAAATTACACAAAATGTTAGCCGATTTACATTTACACCGATTGGTGTCACATTTTCCTTTATCAGAATATCTTTTGTAACCTTGATTATTACCATCTGACATTAAACCCGCAATTTTTTTCAATGACTTTTCTACATGTACTACCTAATCTAGTAGTATTTGAGACAACGGACAAACACCAAACTAGTTTCCGGTGAATAACTAAAATAAAATACTATATATTTTATTGCCAAGTCTATAGTATTGTTCATCCTTAATAAACACAACTGAAAATATAATATTTAGATTATAGAGATAAGTCTTCAATGGCACCTTCCAAATATTTGACGAAATAATGTGAAAAATAATTCACAAATTATGACACAAATGACAAATATGTTGATGAATTTATTTTAGACTTGTATATGTCGATTAAAATGTTTAATTAAATGATTAAAAAAAAAGTTAAATTAACCGCATATAGATAAACAACATTTTTTCAACTATTATTTTCTATTAAGATTTTGAGCAGAGCGATGAATGTTTAAATTTTACAATTATGTGTTTTTTGTGTCTGTAAATATTACAAGTAGTCAATAAAATGCTTTAATTTTTGGGGTGGAAATTCGATTTAGTTGTCACATTGGTAAAACATTATTAGTACCTACATTTATTTATAATCGGGATAAACTAAAAAAAAGTTAAGGAAAACTGTTATTTTTATATAAATTCAATTTTCAAAAAACTTATTTTATTAATTTAAAAATAATTAATCGTAAATACTTTACATTTTTACCAAATCAATGGTGTAGCCAGGGGGACTGAGGGAGATGTAGCCTCCCCAAAATATTAATATAATTTAAAAATTATTTCATCATAATATATTCAATTTTATTTAATAGAAGTTTGTTTTATTATATAACATGTTTATATATTATATTATGTCCTATTAAAAAGAAAATTCAATATTATTATTATGTTTTTTTTTTTAAATAATTGATATGTGTAAAATAATTTATTTTATATTACGATAAAATACAATAGTATACAAGTATATTATTAAATCAATATACAATGATAGGGGTTAAAGAAACTAAAATCTAAAGTAAAACTTTGACATCTGCATGTTACACTTGTGGAAGAACCAAGGTAAACCACCAATGTGTAAAAATTGATCAGCTCCGTCCTCCCAAAGAAAAATACTGGCTACGCCACTGCATCAAATGTTTATATAATCATTTTATATTTACAATAACATTTTCAAAAAAATTATTTCAATTACTTTTGAGTAACTTATAAGCTTAAGAAATTTTTAATTTTTTTTTCTAAAGATATCGATGAAAAAATATTAATTTGTTAGAAGTATTTGAAAATTTAATAAAAATCTTTTTATAAATAGATATTTATTTTTCAATTAAAAAATATAGATAATCTATAGTAAAAATATTGTTTTATAAGCGTTTAAAGTAAGAACTTTGATAAAATTCGTCAAAATCTCAAATATATATAAATTATTTTATATAATATTAATTTTATTATTTTAATTTATTTTAGAAATTCATAAAATTTTTAGTTTTTATATTTAAGATTTGATAATTCAATAGTAGATTATTTTATAAGTTTTTAACCTATAAGAAAAAAAATCCTACCAGAAGGTCAAATTAATTTTTTATGAACATTTGAAGTTTAAAATGTTTACGTATATTCATATATTATTATCAATTCCATTATACGTTTTGATATATTTTAAGATATTATATATTTAGACTAAAAAAACATGTTCACTGTTTTATCATATTAACTATTTACAGAAAGATATTATTAATTTTGAGTTATACAAGTTGCTGTAATATGTTAAATATATATATTTTTTAATAATTAAATATTAATAAATAATAATATAATAAATGCAATATTTTTGAAAAAAAATAATATTAACCTACGTAATACTAAAACTAAAATCAATTAATTTAATAACTATTTAAAAATAAATCATGAAATAAAATTTTTTTCCTGTTTAACTGACAATGGAGGAGGATACTACATGCTATGGAATATGGGCTGATAGACGGTTAGGTTACATTAGGTTCGTTTTTTGTATACAATAATATATCATTTTATTTTAATTTAACACACCTATAACAGTGACATCTAACGTATAGTAAAGCGGTACCTGCTTGCCTACTTTTTTTTCTTTAAATATTTCACATGATATTATAATTTTATAATATATGTTGTTTATTATATTATTTTTATATCTAATTATAATATTATAATTTATAAAACATTATTAAAAATATTCATTTATTACATAATTTAATAATTATAAAAATTTTCTTTAAAACTGATAAAAACACATTAATTTTAAACATTGTAATTATACAATAATTATAAATTTGACAATGCTATAGTATCTAAATCAAGGGTGTCCAACCCGCGGCCCATGGTAGATATTGATGCGGACCTTACTTCAATTTAAAAACTATTAATTAATTGTATATAATATATTAATATTACGAGAACAAATTTACTATAAGAATATAAAACTACATAATATTAAACATCAAATAAACTTTAATAGTGTTTAATACTTTTATCTTAGCATAATAGCACGGGCACACATTAATTATACAAGTGATTAGTGGATCAACTCGAGCCGATTTTGATAAAATATTTTATTATTGGAGATATGACCCATGGCATCTATCTCGTGTCATTTATCAAAAAATAAAAATAAAACACTGTATATATAAACTATTATTATTAAAAACTATGTGGCCCACAACAACTTCTACCCATATGATGTGGCCCAGACTTCACAAAAAGTTGGACACTTCTGATCTAAATAGTAAATAGGATGCAATAATGTATAGACCCAGTCTCTGAGAAATTAATTTTTTATTTAACTCTTATGGCAGCTCTCCCTCTCCTCTACTACACACAACAAAATTTACCCATCGCTAGATTGAAAATTATTTTTATTATTATTATTTAGATTTTAGACATATGATTGTAATATGCTTTATAATAGATACAGTAAAAAAAAAATCTCATATAGCAATAGCCCCATTATTTCCCTCTCATATTTATCTGACATAATACATAGTAATAAAGTGTACTCAAAAAGGTAAATAATATTCAGCCTGATTGTATTCACTAGTTATACATTTTAAAAGTAGTGTTTACCTGTGTACTGATAATTATAACTTTGCTAAATTTGTAAATATTAACCAGTAGTCCTGTGGAACTTGGATTGATCATGTCCAAACAAAAAGTGATGCCCAGAAGTGGTATCAACACTAAAAGAGCTTTAGTGGCCTTTTTGTAGTTATGTGTTTCTGCGGATTTTGTGGACCGTATTTTTGTAATCAGCACCTTAAGAAAACCGATGATAAAAACAAATGTTATAATATGTTTGGCTACATTGATTTTTAACGAAAATACATACCCGCATAATTTTTACAAGGAACACAGAGTTGATCAGTAAGACGATGACAATCGGTGACTGGTATATCCAATCATCAACGTAAGAAGCCATTAACGGACAGTATCTTTCGTACGTGATCTGGTTGTATAAATCTAACTGGAAATAATAAATGGCGTGTTAATTACTATTACTGTAATCGTCATATTATTATATGTGCGCGTGTCCAGTGATCGCTTACATCGTTTTTAGTCGGTACCAAAAGTTTTGTGACGCACCAAGTGGAAATAATGATTAACGGTATTCCTAGATAAAATGCAAAAAAATCATTATCAATATACACAAATTATAGGTGAGACATTAATATATTATACAAAATATCAAAACAATACACTGTGATAAATGTCTGTTGATGGAGTCATCTGTTGTAGTTATGAGTTTTTAGATGCAATATTAGGTTGTTTTTTCTTGTGATAGGGGGAGGGAGGTAGATCAATAATTATTAATTTCATAGAAACTTCCAGTACGGATTCATTTTTCAATGTATGCATGTGTGTAATGTAAAAAAAAAAAAAAATTTTAATCGTATTTCATTAATGTGATATTTAATATATAGGTTGTCAGTGTACTAGTTAAGATAATATAAAAGAAAAAATCATTAGATTCATTCATATTATATTTTTTGATTATTCTTATTTGCATTTTAACATTTTATAATAATTTATATAAAAATATGTAAAAATAAATTTAAATTAAGAAGGTATTCATTTGATGATTTTGATTTTTACAAATTGTCAATGGAAAATTTTGACTAAAAATCTCTAGCCTACATTCCTTTCTCCTCAAAAAATAAATACATAAAATTCTAGTAAATCTATGGTTATATTATTTATAACTTTTAGTAGCATAACACTCGCTAGTGTCTATGTGTAGTTATATTATATTGTGTACCATAATTGCCGCATTTCAGATGGCGATAATTCGATTTCAGCGAGTATTTTGCGCAAGCAGATGTCATACATCATTGCACAGATAACAGAATGCGATTTCGGGACTCATTAGCGAATGTCCAAACAATATTACAATACATTATCATAAGCATCTAAACGGTTGGTAGTAAACAAATAAAAATTTTATGATTTTTGTTAAAATGTATTGATAATTATCATACATATAGTGAATGAGCCACAATAATTATACAAAGGTAGCAACATTTTATATTTTTTTATGTATGTCGTTTCTCAAAGGAAAAATATATTCTCAGTGCCTTCAATCTTAATTTAAAAAAAGTTTGATAACTTTTGATGTATACCTAGGTCAGGTTAGGTACCTATTTACTGTAAGGTAATTAAATATTTTCGAAAAGTCCAAAGCAGTTACTCATAGACAATGAACAATTTAAAAAAGGTATTTTATCATTTTTTTTTTTTTTTTTTGTATCGTTTATTACATTTTCAGGTTATTATATTATAAAGAGGAATAATCGATGTAATACGTTATTTCTAATTCACTGAATATAGCATTACTCATATTATACGAGACTCGAGAGATACCTAATGCATGTGATTATGTGTTAATGTTCTATTCACCGATTTGGATGCAGTTAGAGAATTTATATTTTAACAATAAGAATTTTAATTTTTATTAGAAAGATTGTTTTTAATTTGACGAAGTTATCGAACATAAATATATTGCGAAATTTGATCAGGACAATATATTATATATATATATATATATATACATTGATAAAAACAACGATTCAGTGCGTATTGTTATTACATCATGGAAATTTGATGGTTTAAGCGATAAGTATAATAACCGCGTTTAATAACCTATTTAGACTAAGTACTGTAGATAAAGAAAAATACATAAACTTAGTATTAATAATAATTAAACCATATGAATGATAAATTATCACATGCCTATGTTTGAAATTGCAATAAATTTTTATGGTATAATATTATATTTCGTCTTATTTTATAAAAATAAATTGTACTGATTCAAGTATTTAATAACTTAAGATATTATTATTTAGTTAAACATTTAAAAAATTCTAATCTCTTATAATACAGTGATTAATTTGAGAATTAAATTAGTTATATTTCAAGCTACTACATATCTATATATGTATGGTTGCTTATACCTTTACAATGTAAAAACAATATATAAAAACAAAGACAAAACAAAATAAATTTTATGCAGTTATTTTCTAATTTAATTATATCATTCTTTTAATCCTGCATTTTCAATGACAAACTATTCCTTATAAAATAAAGTCGTACCGATGAACAGATTTAATTATTCAATTAAAAATATTAAAACTTCCATTAATTATTTATAAAAAACCAGCTTATATAATATGAAATAATTCATTTTTTTTTTTTTAAGATTCTAGTCAAAGCAAAAACTTTATTATTTATTGATCTTAGACGTTTAGTACTTATTACAGTCACACTAAAAAAAATAACTAAAAATAAAAATAAAATAATCTATTAGATTCTTTGTTTAAAAAATATATTTTCAAAAATAATTTTCAATATAATATAATTTCTTTAGTATTTTTTATTTTATTTAAGCGTTGTAAAAATATCTTAGAATAAATCATTAATTTAATTTTTATTCAAATATTTATTTATTTGAAAGTATTAATTTTTTTTTATGAATCAAAAAGTTAAAATATGTAAATGATATTTCAACCTAGAAAAAGATATATTTTGATAAAATTTCAGAATCTTTATTATTAAAAATAAATCTGATTGATTATTAGTATTTATGTGTTATATTTAAATATTTATTGTGGGAAAAATTTGTTAATCAATACTGTTTCTTTCATATCAATAAACCAACAAAAAAAAACGTATGTATGAATAATATATTAAAATTGTTATTATTTTACTCAACAGAATTGATTTTTATCGTATTTCTAGTCAATGTAATATGAATACATGTATTGATGTTTTACAAGTAAAATAAATAGTTAACGAACGTATAATAATTTTTGAATTTTGCATTAAAAAAAAGACCGGACAATTATGCATGAATAAATTTAAAAATTTAACACAACTCTGAATCATTAATAAAAACATTTTAACTATTGTTTTTAGAAACGTTCCTCAAACGTTTTAGATCGCAAAGCACTTAGGTTTGTAAAAAAAAAACTAAAAAAACTGTGGATCTTAAGATTTTGCTATAGATAACTAGTGATAGTAATTAATATTATAGATGGACATATTTTGTATACTTTCATATAACTGTCAATAAATTATGTCATAGTGCATTTATAGGGTCATAAGAAAATATGGCATAAAATATTGGATAATAAATTATTTGGGATAAATTAAACTTTATTTCTTAGTCTATCTTTTAAATTTCCAGAGATAATAATTGTTGTTTATAGAAATTTAATTTGTTAGATGTATTATTATTTATTACTGATGACAAGAAAAGTAAAAAAAAAAAATATTTGCTATTTACCTACTGATAATGTTGTGGATTAATATATTAAAATTATATAAATAGAATCAGATGTTTAGTCTTAAAGTATGAACCACACAACGATTAACCTTTTCATATTATGGAATCGTAAAAATATATATCATAAACATGTTAAAATTAAATCATTAAATAATAATAAAGTTAAATTTCTATAGTTTAATGTAGTTATAAATAGGTAACTAAATTATAATTTTATTGACGATCAAATAGAATAAGCGATTCTTTATAAGAGATTAGTAAATATTAATTCATTACCTCTATATTTATAAATTATATAAGAACTAATTGTGGCTAATTGTATTCAGTTTAAAGTATTAATAGTGTGTTTATTATTATCTTAATATAAACTAAATTATTATTTAATAATATTAAATAACTAATTCAAATGCAAAGGTATAAAGACAGGTAAAAAAGAAGACAAGATCTAATAAAAATTAAAACAACTATTTTAGATTAAATTTATTCTTTTTATAAAATATGAAGGTAGATATCTTCAGTGATTTTAAAAGTTGTGAATAATCATTCAGTATAAATAAAGATAATTAAATGATTTCATCAATTATTTCTATAGTAAATAAATATAATACACAAAAGTAAAATAAATATAATTTTTAACTGTAAATACTCAATTATATCTTTCAGGTTTAAATGTTTGCTTTTATTATACTTATTTTATTAAATAGTTCATTGAATAATATAAGTATTTTAATTATCTTATTAAATTTAATCAACCCATTAATAACAATTATTTAAATGTTACATTAAAATTAGATTTTTATTCTAAATATAATTTTAATCTTAGAAAATAATTTTAGATTTGTCAATTATTACGCTGTAAAATATAGATGATAATCTACTTAAATTTCAAAAATTAATTTTTTTTTTATTATTTTATAAATGTAAATAATTAGAACAATGTAAGTTTTTATGTTTTGAAAACATTTTAAACTAGGAAAAATGCTTTGATATTCAACTTAAAGAATTGTTTCTGATAGCAAACAAGATTTATTTGATAATATATTTGGGGCGAAAATAACCAGTACCTATACTTTTTAAAATAACTATGAAAAATAAAAATAGGGTAAAAAGACGGAAATCTATACATAGAATTGTTTGGTTATTTTTTGTCAAATAACTGTAAATACTTCAAATTAAAAGAAATTCAAGCTGATCAGTTCACTTAATCCTAGATCACACGATAAAATGATATATTGTAGGATGCTAAAAATCTAAGATTTATCAATCGATTTGATAGGAATTTAAAATTATATTCGTTATTTAAATAACTATTTTGTATATTAGCTTGATCTATACTAGAATATGGTGTACTTTTATGAATTCCTTACACTATTAACGACTACAAATTGAAAGAGTTCAGGGTTTATCTTCGGTACTTTTGATCTGCTGGTAATTATATTAATTAACTGTAATAGACATGCAAATATATTAATATTTTTCTGACAATAACGATTTGATTTGTATACTTATTATTTTTCTCAATTTTTTTAAAATTTAAAAATGAAACTGACCTGTCCAGAAACAGCAGATTATTCAAAAGAAAGGGAATGATTGGGTCAGAGGTGCACTCTAAGATATAATTATTTTAGAGGTAGACGCAGATAAAGACTACGTGAACGCTGAACAATTTTATGTGTACAACGTATTATAAATATTAGGTGATTCGCTGTAATCGCAAAATTATATTATTGTCGGTGTTTTAAACATGTTAGAAATATGAACTGAGTATATTTTGTTTTAAATCATTATTATAACATATATTATACATCACTACATGTCTACATCAGTACCTATATTAATATACCATAATAATAATAATAAAAAAATACACACTTGTGAGTTAAATCGATAAAATATTCACGATAAAATATAAAATCTAGCTGGTATGTAATAAAAACAAGTAATTTACTGTTTTTATGATTAAAATAGTTACTCACTGAATATTTTATTACATATGTAGTTATTTGATGTTCTTACGTAGATTTATTTTACTAATTAGCATACAGTTTTAAAAACGCCCGTAAAGTAATAAAATCAATAAAACCATATTTTGAATAAATTTAGTTTAAGTACTGGGCTTATAATTTGAGTGGTACGGGTAAAGTGCGTGAAATTGTTGACTGCGAAAACCTAAGTTTAAAAAATACCGCACCAAAACTAATTTCCGCTTTTCTCTGTAAATGAAAACTGATAAGTTTTTATCGGAACGTATACAATATATTATGTATAATCTATAAGCAATCATTAACGTGGTGTTGCTACATCGACAAAGTTAACTGATTTATGTGGCTATGAATTATTGTAAGTATAAGAGGCTGAATATGAGTAAATAACAAAGTGGTTTTTATCATAATAGTTGAAATTTGTAAGTTGCTTCTAAAATCAACACTTACATGTTTAAAAAAAGGTATCATAAAAAAACTCATGACTAAAAAATAAAATAAAACGTTAAATAAAAACTTAATAATGACATATAAAAAACAAAACTTACCCCATCCAATAGCCATATATGTTCGCAATCGCACTCTGTCTGGGAAAAATGTATCTACGACCAATATAAATAAATACATCCCTGAAACCCGATTCATTAAGTATTAAAATCGTGTGAATTTTTTACACACACGATTAATTTATAGGTTTTGATGTTAAATTTAACCATGGTAGTCATTCATTCAATAAAATATACAGATAAATAAAACAAATAACTACACGCTATTGCTTCTCTTGAGTGTAAGCGTGTTATTTTAGGAGTAGTTATAATAATTTAATTTATATTATGATGTTTACCTTCGATAAATGCCCAAAAATAATTCGTCATGGTAAAATAGTAAAGTGGTAATACCAACAAAGCACATTTAAATGTTCCTGTGTTGGTCAAGTTCTGCAAAATAAACGTTTTTCTGATTAAAGCAAATTAACATAAAATATCAACATTTTTATTTTTACATATATAAATTAAAATTAAAATTTTTTTGTAACTTTATTTAATTTAATACATATTATGATGTAGATTTTATTCATATATAATTATATACATAAAATTATAATATTATGTTCTATAAAAAATCATAGAATTTGAATCTTAATATTAAAATGAGGATAATTTACCTATTCTTATGATAGTATTACAGACTATTAATAGGTATTAAAAAGTATATTTTAAGTTTAAAATTTAATCGTTCTTATTAATATAGATACTATAGAATATTTTTAGGGTTTAATTTATTAAACATGTTCATTTATTAATTAATTTAAATATTAGTTGATTGTTTATATAGTAATTTTTGCTATGTTAAACTTTTCGTTATTTTGAACTAGGTACTACGTTGAAATCTTTTTTAAACTACCACTACACTCAATAGTGTTTTACTCTCAATAACTTGATTTGAAATTAATCATTTTTCGTTATTTCGAGTACATAAATATCATTTTTATTATAGCAAGAACATGGAAAGATAACTAAAGTTTATCAGAAATCGACGAAAATCTTATCGAAAGTAAAAACGAATTTATTACAAAATGAGGAGGAAGTCACTGTAGTTAACAACTAAACTAGCTAAACATTAAGACGTTTAATTAAAACTAATATAGATGTAGAAGATAATGGTGTTTCTATATTATCCAATTTGGAAGACATCGTAGAAAGTAAAAGTAATAAAAAACAATAATTAATAATAGATTTAAAAATAAAAAAAAAAAAATTGATTATTACTTGATTAAATATTTTATTTTGAAATAAAATTTGATAAAACTCGATGTGTTGGAATTTTCGATATATTGATTTTTTTCTGTTTACTTTTGAGATTTGACATAACAAGAATCTACTATATTAGGTACATATTTTTCATTCAGCATTTTATCGTGTAAATTTGTATAATTTTTATCAAATTCAATCATTGTGATATGTAATATTAATACGTATGTATAGTTATTTAAGTTGAAGTTAGTACCAAGTAGTTTCTAATAAATAATAATAATAAAAAAAATCATGCTCACGTAAGAGTTTAAAAAAAAAAAAAAATGCTTAATATTTTACTAAAAACAATAAATTTGAAATATTTTTAAAGAAAAATATGAATATTATTTAAATAAAACCATAAGTTTCTTCATTATTTATGAAATTATTTCATGATTATTTTTATTGAATACAATATTATAATTCTTTCTCATGATATGGCATATTACATTTATTCAATATTATAAACATGTTTACCAATACAAACTAGATAGCGATAAACAAAGTGATATCCGGAATGCACACACGTTATTATGACCGACTGTTTTTACTATTCTAACTACGTCTAAATTATCATTATTTTGTTTATTATTACAAATGTTTCATATTGGTAATATATAAATTATAAATTAAATACAATAAATATTAATAGTTATGAACCTTGAAATATGTTTTCTTCAATAAGTGTAGTTTCATAAAAATTAATTATTCAGTTTTTGAATACATTTTCGTGGATCGACATTATAAAATTTAAGTATAGTTTTAAATAAATTTACAAAAACATCAAGTTAAGTATTAGAAAATTAAATAGCTTATATTTCAAAAAAAAAAAAAAAAAAAGACTAATTAATTTTCGACTTACAGTATAATTAAGTATCCACATGATGCCTGCCAATAAGTACGATGCCATTAAATTTGAGTGAATTTTGTTACGCAAACATTTCAGTTCTCTATTGAATAATAATATAAAAAATACATGGATTATAAATAATATTGTTTTATAAAAGTAACTTGTTTGTATTGTACTTCTCACTTAAATCGGCAGAATACAAAAATAGCTAGTGATGTCATTATTAAGGACAAACAGTGACCAGCTATATACAAATAAATTATTATATCAACAGTGTCTTCTTCATCATATGTCACTGCTTTTGGCTCAACAAGAATCGTACATTCGTTAAAATTGGTTAGGCCCCAAGTATTGTTCTCGTAACACATTCGACTTGCATTTTCTAAATAATAATAAAAAATAAAAATAATACATTGTTCTACAAAATTGTCCACTATATAATTTCATTATAGACATAATATCTATTAGCATCTATATTAGCATATTATTAGTAATAAATTATTTTCATACAAAAAGTATAAAGTAATAAAATTTAGTACCTTGTAAATCCTTTGTAAATGCTAAAAATTTTAAATTATGGTTGTTGGCTAACACTAAAAATTAAGAATTCTATGATATAAAAATTCGGAATCAAATTTTTAGATATTACAGTAGTCGAGGGTATTAAAAGTATTAAAGTAAGACACATCAAGATATATGCAAAATTAAAACTAAAAATAGTCATACAAATTAAATATCGCTAAAGTCTGTACATAAATAAAATAAATAAAATTTCCAGGAAAATTACTTTGACATAATATTATTATAACTACGTTTATTTTTATATAAGGTTTATAAAAAAATGAACATAAAATCAAAGATTTATCTGTAGACAAAAAGCTAATAACTTATAATATATCCGGAATTATATGTTAGCAGATTTGATGTGTAAAAGCATTTGTAACATGATCCGAGAAAAATATTGTAGTAGTACGTTAGACATCGAGTATAAAAGAGTACCTATTTAGAATTTTCACGAGAATATTTTTCATTTTTATCAATATTACTTCTAATTTACTCTAATAAACTGCTGATAAAAATAGAAAATAGTTTTATGAATACGAAATTTATATTTTTGCTCCAATGCAATATATTAAAACACCACCATTTAGAACTATTTGAGTGAAACAAGACGGATGTGATAATAACTTGTTTTGTTTATAATATTTACAAAATTAGTATCGAGAGATCAAGGATATATTTATCAGATACACGTGAATCTGGTTTCATCTCATAAACAAGAATATAATAAAATGTATCCTGGTCTGATAGTTATGGTTAATTTATAGTAAAATTAAATTTATGAATATTTATATATTATTTATTTGAAAAATAATAATTAATGCGGGTGTAAATTTTGTAATTCTTTTAGAGTTTGAGCATATATAATTTTGGTTTATAACAGAAGAGTTTAATTTTTATTAAACATTAAAATATATAAATATATATATATATTTAATGTTATTAATAAAATTTAAATGCTCTTTTTTCGCGTAACTTTTCAAGTTTTTAAAGTGTTAGTACATATTATGAAACTTTCACAGGAGTTTTGAGAATAGGTTCTGTTTTATATTGTATAACTGTAACCTATTTTGTCATTGATTAATAGATGTACCTAATTTTTGTTCCTTTTTTTTTTTTTTTGTTTGTTTATATGCTTCACCAATTATAAATATGTCAAATTTATAAAAACAGTTGTAAATACTGTACGAATACGTGTCATACATAATATCGGTGTGCTAAATCTATGAATTTAAATGAAAGTGGGTTATAATTATTATAGATTTATTTAAAAATTAAAAAAAAAAGAGATTAAATTTTAAATTGTTATTATAATTTACTGTACTTGTAATAGCACTTATTGTGCTGAAATATTTTAAATAATAATAAATTGATTTATTATGATTAATTAAAGTCAAAACATTAATAAAATATCAATATTTTTAAAATGTTACAAAATATATGGATTTAATATCTATATTTATTGGATACTTACATCTGTTAATCGTAAGTGGAATTGAAACAATAATAATACAAAACATTAAGTTATAATATTTTTTCAGGAGTATAGATTAATCGTAAATACGAAATATTCATATAGTACCTTAACACCATTCATAGTACATACAATATAGGTGCAAGGTTGTTGCATATAAATATATAACGGTACATAAACTTTGCAAAAACCTGAAACTAGTAAATTATTTTAAATGTTTTACATTTAAATTTTACAATATAAAAATTTATTGAAAACATAATTGTATGTAAATAATTACTATATGTTTATACATTAAATTAAGTAAAAATAAAATAAAATTGTATTTAAGCGTCTATTGTAATCTGATAATTTTAAATTGAATCTATACTCTGCTGATTATCTAATACTGCAATGGTTTTTCCAAAAGGATATTAAAAACTATGAATATTTATTATTTTAATTACTTAAAGATATTACTATTGTTTTATGATGTTTTTTTTTTATGAATATGTAAGAAATTATTTGTTCAAGCACACCGCTTTTTAACTAATGTATCCGGTTCATTTTTTCAATGTAAAGAGTAAGAATAATAAATATTATGTAGTCTGTATGCGTACAACATAAATAGACAATGTAACGACATCATAAAATTAGTTTTCAAATAAAAAAAAAATCCACTCTTCCGTTTACTTTTTACATAACTTCATATTATTATTATTATTTCTTATTAATTCATCTGATTTAGGTAATTTATCATGTACATATTCGTATTCATAAGTATAGTATTTGAAGGGCGTAAATAATTTATGATGTTAATTTAAGCTACCGGTACCTAGTTTATTAATTTTACCATAGCGTGAAGCGTTGCAAATATTTGTACAACTCAAATTGCATGGTAAAAATGCATTTTTCTTATTATAAAAAAATGTATTTAAGTCGGTATAAAATTATGTTATTTATGTTAATTAAGTGAAATATATTAACAAATGATACTTTTACACTCGGATAAAAAGTATAGTAAATCAATTGAGTTAGGCACTTGTTAGTAGGTATTTAAAATTAATATTAAAATATAAATAATTATTTAAAATATAAAATTAATTTATTAATATTTATTAATAATAAATAAATAAATAATGGATGAGGATTATGTAAGTTATGTAGTTGTTTTTTCCTATGTATTTTTTTATATTTAAAGTTTAGCGATGCAGCTATATAGGTTTTAGGTTTAAGAATATCCTTTTAGATTTTTTAAGATGGTCAGAAAAATACACTCATTAAAAATAAACTAAAAATATTTAGTCATAATGAATATAATATTAATTAAAATACGATGTATTAGGTGGTGTTGTCTAATAGAAATATCTAAAAAAGTGCTTATATTTTAATAGATTAATATTATAATATTATGTTTAATTATGATTTTAATAATTAGATATATACTGACTTTGGTATTTATAAATGCATTGTAAATAGGAATTTATATTTTATCAAGATATATTAAGTTATTATGTAAGTTTCTTTTATTGGAAAAACAAAATAAAATAACATAAATAATACTGTACATACTCTACTACTCTTAATGCTTAATATGATTAAACTTATAAAGTATTGTTTTATTATATTATACAAATGCATATACTTAAAAACAAGTAATAAGTATATATTTATAATATAGAATAAATTAACAAACATTAATAGTATAACGTGGGTAGTGTAATTATTTTTTATAGATTGATCCGATAAGAAATATTCTGTACAACAATAGAACTACTAGAACTTATTCCATTTATGAGGTAAATACATAACGTATTATTTAATGTATTGTTTTAAATTATATTATCTACTGGGTGTTTTAGTGTATTTTACAATTTTCATAACTTAAGACGCCTCACTTATGTCTTAGCTTTAAATATTTATTTATATATTATTTAATAGTGGAAATATTTAGACTATAATCTATAAAAACGTATTAAACATTTTAAATAAAAGGTATTAAATAATTAAAATGTATTTAACATACATTTTAAGCTATTTCTGGACAAAATTAATATAAAATAAAAATAAATATATACTCGTTAAAAAAAAAAAAAAAAATTAAAAATTAACAGTTATTTTGTGTATTTATTTGCTAAACTTTATGATTATCATGCTTTGTTATAAGTTAACAATTGTATTCTCTTACTTTACTTTTAGAAACGTATCTTATTAACAGAATTAATGAAGTCATTAGTGATGTAATAGTAATTGTATGCTATTCTAAGTTCATTAGATCTAACGCAAACATTTGAGTGGTTATATATTATATAAGTATAATATATAATTAATACTTATTAATACTATTTAATCATGTTAGTGGTTTGCTTACTACTTGTATCGTATAATATTCCTCTGAGTTCTTTAAAACATGACTGATATACGATTACACCAGCCTGTGTGGGAGGCCAACATATCAACGAATCTGATGATGCGTTACACCCGTTTGTCCAACGATCATCCCATTCGTACCAAGAACTGCATTTCAAAGCAGCCTAGAAATTATTTATCAGTACAAACTGTTATATTTAATATTAAATTAACATTATAACATCAAAGTTTAAATTTTTTTAGGACAAAGTGGATATTTTGTTTTATACCAATACCTATGAATAATAAAAAATCATTTCATTTTTATAAAATGGAAAATATCAAAATTCTTACTTCTTCGTTTGGTGACCAACTGTCATTGAAATAATCCATACTGATTTTTCATGCTGACGTTGATTATTGTTATTGAAAATAAATATTACCATGCGTATTCATTTTCTGAAAATTAAATACATTTATTCGGTTAAATTAATTTTAATTTATCACAATGCCTAAATCCGAATAATAATGGTAGGTAAGAGTATAAACTATTTTTTTTAAATGTTTTATATATAAATCCTATTCGTACATTAAATACATACAATTTACCATAATGAGGCATGAGCATACTAAATATAAAAAAAGCAAACCGTTTAGTCAATCAAGATAATTTACAGTGCACCTGGAGAACAAAATTTACAGAATAGGCTGTGGATCTTTCTCATAAATTAACGTCATACATACAATTTACTTATCACTTATCCTTAAATTTACAACACTAATTATTTCGCTATGATTTTTAATATGTGAACTAAAATTGTTTAAAAACTAACATTATTTAATTTCTATAAGCTTAACGTCTGTACTAACTATCCTTAATAACTGATATAATATTTTAAATATAACTTTATAAAGTTATAAATATTTGTAAATATATAAAGACAAATTAAATTAAGTACAATATTATATTAAACATAATAATTGTGTTCAATAAACTTTGGTGATTAAAACTTTTAATTTTATAAGTATTTTATTTAGTTATTTGTATAATTACTCTACATAATATTATTAAGATGTAAACTTGAAGATAAATAATTAATTTACCAACTATATAAATACAATTGGCTAGTTGGAAATAGATATATAGTAATAACTTGTATGGGCTTTAGTTGTATGTATGATATGATGCGTGTTTCTGTCAAACACAAATGTGTGGAAATAAATTATAATACCATAGTTTGTAATTTCATAATTAATAAAAATGTTAATAACAATACAATTACTGTACCGAGATTGAGTAGATTAAAATGATATAACGAAATAATTTGCACCCCCTTCACATTAAATTATATTATAAGCTTTTGTTAACAACTTTAAAGAAATATATCAGGAAAAACATTTAAATGTGCTACTCGACGAATTAAATTTGAAGATCTCTAGGTTAGGTTTATTTTAGATGTTTCTAGAATTATCAGGAATTGTGTTAGAGAATAGTCAACTAATTAGAAAATTTTGGTTAATGGGTTAACTATTTATTGTTCTTGATGAACTAAATGGCAGAAACAATTTTCCGAAGCAAATTGACTGAAGTACTTGAATTAATAATAAGATGAATTTTTGAGAGAGCCCTATACTATACTCGGATGCCATGTACTAGACATTGTCTATTGCAACCGAAAAAATAATTTATGTTGAGTAAAAATGTGTATAAAAAAATGGTACATTTTTATTAACAGTCTTTTGTGCAAAATTTATTTGCACATAAACTTTACAGTAATAATTGTTTGAAAATTAAGAAATATAAAATTATTACATATAATTATATAAGCTATAAAATATAAACTAATTAAATAGATAAAATCTTTCAATTAAATATAATTAATAGACATATAAATTTATTTGTACATGATAATAATAATAGTTTTTTACTTCATTAACTACAAGTTAATTAAAATACACATTATTTTTTAGCTCTAGTTAATATAATATGTAATATATTATAATATAGTTTATATTATAGTTTATAATATGTACCTATACCGGAATCATTAAATCAATTAAACCTAATTAAAAATTAGAAAATTTAGTTTACACTAAATGTGTAGAAACTGGTTATATTTCTTAATTTATAGTTGTTGACTACGTAGAATTTAATACTAAATTAAATAACATTTTGTTTTTATAGAAAATTTACAAACGTATGCATGATATTGATTTTTCACATCATGTAGTAATTTTACATTTTCTAATTTACGTATTATTGATATAGCAAATGCTTTTGTTTACAAGATTGAGAATATAAACGTTACTTATATTTAACAACGATGACATTTTAAGAATTACTTTATGGTTAAAATAGAACCAAAAAAGACATAATTTGATATAATTTGCACAAATTGTCAAATTTTGAAACAAAATGTAATGTGCTAGGAATCATTTACGCTATAAGCTGTTCTCATTTTCTAAGATGGTAGTTATATTTAAGGATTATTATAAAAACCCTTTTATAAATGGATTCTGTAATTTACCAAAGCGTATTTGTATTAGAATAATTTTTTTTTTTTTGGATTTTGTTACTTAGGTACTCAGTATATAAACCCTCATCATCTACTTGCTTAGCGCTTTAACACCTTTGTATGAAATAAAATAATAATATTATTTGAGTGACTAAAATTATATATTTTTTGAGTAAAATCATTTACTATGAAAAAAAAAAATTAATAATAAAAAAAAAAAAAAAATGGAATATGCTATTTACAAAAGACAAAAATCGAACAATACCGTTGACAATTGACATATGTCAAACCACAAAAAAGTTTAAACAATGATTATTATTAGTAATATTATACTACATATAAAACATATGTATATTATATATATTATATTATACTCGTACGTATATTAAAAAAAAAAAAACCTTAAATATTAAAATATATTTTCAGATTAGAAACACTATGAATATACCTACTGATTTTACAATAATGTGAATGGTTGTATATTCTGTGGGTCTGTCATCAGTTTTTGGAACAACAAAGATGCTTCGACTTTCCACTTTGGGAGTAAAGGTTAGGTTAAGGCTGGTAAAAATATAATCTAGTTGATACTTTGAGTGAGGGGAGATTAAAATTAATATTTCTATTTATTTACCTATCTAATTAATAAGAAAAAACAAAATAATAATAATAATAATATAAAATAAATAAATAAATAAAAACGGGATTTTTTTGTATTTAAAAGTTTAAAACTTTTACATGTATTATTAAATTTACTATAAACAATGCTATTTTCAAAATATTTAGATTAATTTAATTTTAGAATATATTTTTTTTATATTATGAACCTGTTTTCATGTTTTGGTTGTAAGGTGGTATTGAATCAAAAATTCATCACAATATAGTATATACACCTATAATTTTGATAATTAAACACTAATAGTATAATAAATACAATATTTTCGGCAAAAACTAAATTAACATACCATAATACTAATAAAAAATAAATTACTTTAATGGCAATATCAAAAAAACATATAATGAAATGTATTAATGATATAGCCTGAAAAATCGTCTCCATACAGAATAATTTTTTGTATAATACCATGATATAATAATAAATTTATTAAAACTTAACACATTTATTGTAATAATTCACTAAACATCTACTGTACAGCAGAGCAGTATCCACTATTCTACTATTTTTATCGTAAATTTTGTGTCTTGGGTAGATGCCAATACATTACCATAACAATCTAATTAACAAGAAAATGTTTATACTTAACCTGTGATAGAGTATATAATTTTTTATTATTGCATTGTACATAGTTGGTAGATATTTTAAATGTATGAAGTAGTTGATCACTGTTTACGTATGCAAATTTATAAATATATGTGAATCATACATTCTAAATAAAGAATTTAAGTAGTATATACAGTCATAAGATATACAACATATTAATATTAGATAGATAAATGTTTCTTATACGTCTAAACCTTCGATATATAAAAATCAGTATGGTGTATAAATTATTTATTAGTATGCAAATTTATACAGCCCTACCATTCCTATCAAGGTTAAGTTATTAGAATCTGTAACTATAATTAGTATATCTAATATCATGTATTTAACATCATACAGTGATCGATGAAGAGTAACGATGTATAATATGTAGCAAGTATAAAATTGAAATAGCGAGTGTATAAGGTAATAAAGGTATTCATACACATTGCACAAATTTAATATATTTAATAAAATTGATGAAGAAGTTTCGAGAGTGGTGGAGAATTTTACTAAAAAAAGAAGAATAATGGTTAGAAAACGGTATTATACACGATCATATGGAGCTAATCACGAGTTAAGTAAGAATGATATACCACTATGTCATATTCTAAAATTGAGTAGACAAATGAGAAGTAAAGCGTAATAAGAGTGATTAGATATGAGCCGGATAAGAACATATTGGTGTTACGTTAAATGAAGCCTAGTACTTTCAGGTTTCTACCGACAGTGATGTTAATATTATGATCAAAAGAATGAGTCAAAAACGACGAGATCCTTGACTCAGTATAGATGCTCGAGTGTTTAGCCAATATCCATTAAGGGGAGAATGGAATAGAGAACGACTCTAACAAAAATACATCTTGTTACATTTTTCAAAATCTGTCTGCAGAAAAAAAAACAGCCAATTTGGGAGTAGATTTTCATGTATATTTTAATGTTAACGAAAAATAAAATAACTATAGGATTAGAAATTTAACTACTTAGAGAATTGTTGATAAGCGGATTAAAAAGAGGGAAGAACTTGAAAGTCCGTCTGAGGCATGCCAGAGAGTATGCCTGAGAGATTGGAATCCATTAATGAACATTTAAACTTAGTTTATGTTTATTTATGAATATAAAGTCAAGTTTCAATAATTGAATTTCAATAATTCTTTAAAAATAAGGTGGATTTAGATAAGGAGAGTTTACCATTACATTATGAGTCAAACAAGAGGGCATGATTGGTGATTTATTTGAAAATTAATTGAATTTGATCAAGAAATATGACTAAATTCAAGAAATGTTTTGTTATTCATTGATAATACAGTTCATTGTAAGTAATCTTAAATTAAAATTTGTAAAAATCAAATCTTTACCTCCAAATACTATGTTTAAATTACAAATAATAGATCAGGGAATAATACAAAATTTCAAAACATTAAATTACAGAGGAATTATTTGAAAAATCGTTTACCATATTAATGAAGGCAGACAATACTAAAAAAATGTACTTCAATTTATGTGCATGTGTGAAAAAGCATGGCGTAATGTTCAACTAAATAAAGACCATGACGATGATAGTATGATTGGCAAATTGTATCAGATAAACTTAATATTGATCAATAAATTATATTGCAATCGTATATTACAATCGAAGATAATTTTGTAGTCAGTGAGCTGTTAGCTGGTAACGAAATCAAAGA